AACAGGACAGGAGCCTACCATAGAGGGCCCCTGAAAGACTTTACCTAGCAGTGTATCAAAACAGATGCTGAGACTCATAACCAAACCCTGGCCAGATTGAAGGGAATCTTATGAAAGAAGGAGTTAGAAAGACCAGGAGAGGACAGGAGCTCCACAAGGACCAAATATATCTGGGCAGGGGAGTCTTTTCTGAGACTGATTCTCCAACCAAGTACCATGCATGGGTATAACCTAGAAGCCCTGCTCAGATGTAGCACTTGGCAGCTGAGTATCCAAGAGGGCAACCTAATAAGGGGAACAGGGAATGTCTCTGACATGAACTCAGTGGCTGTCTCTTTGACCCCCCCCACAAAGGAGGAGCTGCCTTCCTAGGCCACAGAGGAGGACATTGCAGTCAGTCTTGATGAGACCTGATAAACCAGGTTTAGATGGAAGGGGAGGAGGACCTCCCCTATCAGTGGACTTAAGGAGGGACAGGGAGGAGATGAGGGAGGGAAGGTGGGACTGGGAGGGAATGAAGGAGGGGGATACAGCTGGGATAGAAAATAAACAAACTGTAATTAATATAGAAATAAATATTTAATTTAAAAATACATAAAATAAAAATTTTAAATATTTCTCTTATTTTTTATGATTATAATATAATTATATCATTTCCCTTCCTTTTCCTTATTTCTCACTCTCTAGCATAGGCTTATTGCTCTTTCAAATTCATATCCTCTATGTTTTATTATTTGTTATTTATTACATGTATATTCTAATGTGTATTTATGTTCATGATGTATATGTAAACATATACATTCTCAAATGGACAAATATAAGCTCAGTCTGTATAATGTTTGCATGTTTGTTTTCAGGATTCACCATTTGGTATTGAATGTCTGATTGGCATTTTGTTTTCTGGATCATACTAATTTTCCCACTCTTAGCATTCTGTAGTTCCCTATAGTTCTTTGTGTAGGGATGAGGCCATCAGGGCTTTCTCTAATTTACTTTAGCATGGCTATTGTTTTCCTTGTTCAGCTCATGTTTAGACAGTCATGTTGGTCAGACTTTATGGATATCACTTCTGTTATTATTAGGCAACACAATCTCAAAGCAAACTACAATACTTTGGCTGTTATAATCATGTATTTCTGTCTTCTGTAGTTTTCCTTGACACCTTTTTCTTTTCCATTTTTTTCTATTTTTATTTTAATTTTATTTTTTTATAATTTTATAATTTTATTTTAAAATTATAAAATTATAAAAATTTTATAATTTTATTTTAAAATTTCATTATATCTCCTCATTGAAGCCTCCTCCCTCAAACCCCTCCCTGGTCCCACTCATGCTCCTTCTTTCCCCCTATCTCCTTCCCCTAGCCCACTGCCAAGGGGAGTTTCACCATTGCCAACTGCCTGTAGCTTGTTAAGTCTTATCAGGACTGCTTGGATCCTCTTCCTGCATGGCCTGGCAAGGCTGCATCAGTAGGAGTGAGTGATTTGAAAGTAGTCAGCTGAGTTCATGATAGAGGCAGCTTCTGCTCCCCTCACTCAGAGAGCCACATGGAGACTGAACTGCCAATTGGCCACATCTGAGCATGGGGTCTCAGTCCTCTCCATGCATGGTCACTGGTTGGTGTATCAGTCTCTGCAGGACCCCCTTGCCTCAGATTCTTTAGCTTTGTTGCTCTATTTCTGGGGCTCCTGTCCCCTCCATGTCCCTCTATCCACACCCTCTCTTCTTCTGTAAGACCCCCTGCGTTCTGCCCAAAACATTGTAGTGAGTCTCAGCATCTTCTTCCATCCCCTGTTGGGTGGAACCTCTCAGAGGACCCTCTATAGTAGACTGTCATCCTGTTTCCTCTCTTACACTGCTTCTTGTGTCTATCCTGTTTGCCATTCTGAATGAGATTTAAGCATCCTCCCTAGAGTCCTCCTTAGTGTTTAGCTTAGGACTTGTGTTGTACATGTATCATTTGGTTCCTGGTTTTCTGATTTCCATTGGTTGTGGTTTTCTATAATGGCCTCCATATGTTGCAAAGAAAAGTTTCTTTGATGAAGGGTGTCATCTACAGTTATCTGTGGGTATAGGTAGTTAGAATTTGAATGTAGTTAGAGTTTATGCTGGTTTAATAAATATCAGTTGTGGGTTGTCCTCCACAATTTATGACTCCACTTGCTCTGGAGCGTTGACTAGGTTTTCAGTAAAAGTTCAGAATGTGCTCTTGCTGTGTAGTTCTTAAGTTCAAATAGAGCACTGTGGGTTATCATTAAAGTATGTATGTCACTACTGTACCCTTAGGGATATTGTACCAAGCTGATCACTGTTGAGGTTCATAGGCATCACAGCTAGGTAACATATTCTTTTGCTTCCATACTTTGGAAGATTAAATAATGTGTTATGGTACTATGAAAGTTAATCCTAGGAGAGAATGTTTTGATGTTAGGAACCTCAGTGATCCCTATTCCCTGTGTCATGGTATTTTCACAATATCGACTAATTTTTCAGTTCTGGAGGGACGGGCAACCTAAAGCACTAAAGTTAGCGTGCAATATTTTGGAAATCTCTTGGGCACTCTCCAACAGCTTGAAACTGAGCTTCTCATGCCTGGTATTAGGTTTTTATTAGATGGTGCTTTGTTCTTGGAGAGAACACTGTCAGCCTGGGTGAGAAAATTTAATTTGAAGTACATACATTTTTCTATATATATATATATTTATATGTATTTTATTTTAGGTAGATATTTAACTGTATGGTCTCTTATGAAATTTTCAGATGTTCTTGGGGTTATTTTACCATTCTCTATCCTTTTTCTGGGTTTATGTCTATTCTCTTACCGTATTAAATTTTCCTATTTTTCTCACTGCCCAATCATATCAACTGAAGCACACTATTCCTCTCTCTATTCCTCCCCTACCACACACCCAAGAAATGGTCCTTTTTTACTTTATTGGTGTTACAGTTATCCCAGAATATGTAGTTATATCTGCAGGTAGGAGCCTCAGATCCGAGAGAACATGAATCATTTGTCTTTTTAAATCTGGGTTTACACTCAAGTGATCTATCCTATTTTTTTACTTTTAATATTTTTTGTTTATTTCACATAAATTATCTATTTTATATTTGAGACCCTGTATTCTTTCTTATGCCGATTCATTCTGCTTGTACAGCTTTCACCTAAATTTTCTAACTGGGATATGGAGTTTTTCAATTCCGTCTCCATTTCAGCCTATATTATCTTTAATTTCTTTATTAAATTCAGTTTTTATTTATTTATTCAATTTTATTTTATTAATTACACTTTATTCACTTCGTATTCCCCCATAAGCCCCTCCCTACTCTCCTCCTGGTCCTACCCTCCCTCCCCCTTCTTCACATATGCACCTCCCCAAGTCCACTAATAGGGGAGGTCCTCCTCTCCTTCCTTCTGATCTTAGTCTATCAGATCTCATCAGGAGTGGCTGCATTGTCATCTTCTGTAGCCTGGCAAGGCTGCTCCCCCCTCAGGGGGAAATGATCAAAGAGCAGGCCAATCAGATTATGTCAGAGGCAGTCCCTCTTCCCATTACTATGTAACCCACTTGGACACTAAACTGCCATGGGCTACATCTGTGCAGGAGTTCTAGGTTATCTCCATGCCTGGTACTTGGTTGGAGTATGAGTCTTTGGGAAGACCCCTGTGTTCAAATTTTCTGGTTCTGTTGCTCTCCTTGTGGGGTTCCTGTCCTCTCCAGATCTTACTATTTCCCACTTCTTACATAAGATTCCATGCACTCTGCCCAACAGTTGGCCTTAAGTCTCAGCATCTGCTTTGATAGTCTGCAGGGCAGAGCCTTTCAGAGGCCCTCTGTGGCAGGTTCCTAGGTTGTTTCCTGTTTTCTTCTTCTTCTGATCTCCATCTTCTTTGCCTTTTGGGATGTGGTACATCTACACAATGGAGTATTACTCTGCAATGAAAAATAAGGAAATCATGAAATTTGCATGCAAATGGTGGGACCTGGAAAGGATCATCCTGAGTGAGCTGTCCCAGAAGCAGAAAGACACACACGGTATATACTCACTCATATTAGACATATAACATAGAATAAACCTACTAAAATCTGTACATCTAAAGAAACTAATCAAGAGAGAAAACCTTGACTGAATTCAGTTTTTAAATCCTGATTTATCTTTCTTCTTTTTCTTTCATTCAGATATGGATTTATATTTTCTTGGGCATTGTTATACTACTGAAGTTCAAAGAAGCATTTCTTCTTGTCTTCTTTAAATTTCTTGAATCCTTTTCTTAAATTTACGGTTATTTTTAAATGCTTTACATTCTGGAGCTTGTCTGCATAGATTTCACTAGAGAACACTTGCATAATACTAGTAGGTTTTATGGGAGACACAGTCACTCATGGTTTTGTTGTCCCTGCTTTTGTTTTGTTACTGTTGGTTTTGTTGTTGTTGTACCTGATTTGACCTAGACATGTGAACTTGTTTTTTTGTTTCTTTGTCTGATATGATAATCTGCTCTTCCTGAGATTGGGTCAGTGGCAAGAAATGAGTCACCTAAAGTGTGTTAGGTTACAGTGATGGGTGTACTAAGTTAAGCATAGGGAATTCACAAATAAAGATATTGAAGGGCCACGTGTCAGGATCAAGGCCTGTGACTGCGTATATTCGAGTGTTTTGAAAGCAAAGATAAAGGGAAGAAGCTACTTACCCAGGAAAAGTAGCTCACATATAAAAGGTATACAGGCCACATGTCTGGAACTAACTAGGCTTATGGTTTTTTCATGTGACAGATGGTTGGGAAAAGCTGAAAAAAGGATGATACAACTTACCCAAGAAAGGTAGACACTACACAAAGAGTGTGAGCCCTTGGTGGTCTGAAACTGGGACTGTATGTTTGCAGATCAAAAAATAAATTCTAAGAGATGCTATTGATTACAGTTCTACAATGAAGATTTTTAAAAACTTTTCATTGAAAAAATCTTTAAACTGAAATATTTTCATTTCAATATTATTTTTAGGTGGAAGTGAATCTTCCTGGGATAAAGATAAGATAAAATCTCCATTTGCTGCTCCTGGACCTCAACATGGAATTGCTCATGCAGCACTGGCTGGCCAGCCAGGCCTTAAGGGTGCTCCTACCCTCAATCCGCTTCAGCAGAATCGCATGCTAAACAATCGTATGTATACTTTGCTGACAAAAAAATAGATTGTGATAAATAATAATTGCCACGGACCGGCCCAGTCGGGCTCCCGGCGTCCACGGGAGAACAAGGCTTCGGACGGGAAGACACGGTTTCGGCAAAGAATTGACAGACAGAGACACCTTGATGGTTTTGACTCTGCTGCAACTTTACTGAAATCAAGCTAGTATTTTTATAATGATTTCACAAAAGGCACCTTAAAATTGGCATACTTCCCAGAACATTTAGACTTTTACCAAGAATACGAAGTTTACATTTTAATTCAAAATGTAGTCAAACATAAAGCAGTGCCCACAAGAAATCTTGGCCTAAAAACTTTTTGATCAGAGCAAACAAAGAAAAAGAAACCTCAAATTTCGTTATTGCTAACCAGTGAAGAGGAAAGTCAGGAGCTAAGTCAGATGCCTGCCAAAGTCTTTCTCTGTATCAAAATATAACTACACCTTTGTTAACCATCCTCCCATATGTCCTGCTAAAGATTTATAATCTTCCTTAGAAACAAGGCACTGAAGGGAGGGGAAACTCCCGCCAGCTGTACTTCTCATGCTACTTTTTCTTAAAAAGGAGCCTATTATTTTTTTACTATTCTTAATGCCTACTAATACTAAATCTAATTCATTACTTTTCTTAAACTTATTATTTTTATTAAAGCCTTTAACAATCTACTAATAATAAATTTCTTTATAAAATTAGTTGTGCTGTTTCAGGAGTCACAGAGGAAGATCAAAGAATTCATTATTCCAGCCCCAGAGCCACAACTGAAAAAGTGTAGAAATCTCAGAACACGTCTCTTTTCCAAGTGGGATGAGTTTGCCAGGGACCTTCCAGGGAGCGAATTTCCAGAGAAAGCGTATCCCCCGCCCTGTAGCTTATGCTACTATGGCGACGCTGGTGTAGGTGTAGCAAATAATAATTGATAAAATGCAAAAAATACAATACAAAACTGTCTATATATCTTGTAATGGCAAAATTTAGTTTATTTCTCTTAAACAAGGTATAACATTGTTTAAAACCATGCTGAGAAGTAAAGAGTGACTTCTTTGAAAATATGAAATTCATATCATACAGGCAACAGGAGAAGTAAAATAGCAGAGTAAAATGGAAGTATTTTAGAATGTGTGAGCCTTTTAAACAGAATAGCAAAGAAAGTAGAAAAGGACTTAGATTTCAAATTTATTTTATTTTTACAAAATTATATAATTATGTTACTTTAGAGAAATAACCAAGAGTAGCCAAGTCTTGGTTTCTACACCTACAAGTTAGCAGTGGAAATACACTTACTTCAGGTTATTCTGGGTGTTACAAATTGACAAAGGTAAAGACATTAACAATTAGTTGCATAAATAATTTCTATGTAAATTATAATCATTAATAGTTCCTAGAATATGAATACATATGATTTTTACACATTTCAGTTTATATGATATTTACAAGGACTTAAAATACTCTTAAATCTTGATGCAAAATAGATCTTGCATTAGTTTGATGGATAAAATACTGTATTTCTTGAAAACAAGAATTCCTGGAGAATAATTCCATTATTCCTCTTTCTTGGAGTTTTAGTCCTCCTCTAAACCCTGGGTTGAAGCAAGAGAATTTTGAAAAAGTTCCATCTCATAATATATCATCACAAGAATAAGGGCATTTTATAATATGTTTGTTATAACAGAAAGTTGCAAAAGCTTCAAGTACTATGTATTAAGAATTCCCTATACATCTGGGGTACAGAAACATGAATACCAGAAGAAAGGAGAAAAATTGAATACCAGACATTTCACACTTAACACTGTCTAACTAAAATCCTGTTCAACCTAAAACAATTCCCTAAAGACATAGGGTTTTTGCCCTTATGCACGTGATAAATCAAGCAAACAGTAAAGACAGTTCATGAAAAAAAATGCTTGAAATATTTACCAAGGATTCATATCTCAGTACTTGTCATGAGATCTTGAGAACATACAACTTCATCACATGACGAAGCTGAGCAGAGTAGTGGGTCTATAATCTGAGCATCCCATGGGATGGGACCAGAAGCACATGAATTCCTGAATATCTTCTTAAACAAGTGTAATGGAATCAGTGAGTTCTAGATTCAGTGAAAAATCATGCTTCAAAAATTGAGTTTGAGAGATGTTGAGGAAGGCAGAATATTTTAACCTCAAGCCTCAAAATATATATGCAAACACATCTGCACATAAACACACACACACACACACACAAAAAAAAACAAATTAAAATGCAGTCTAAACAGACAAAGGAAACAACAACAGTAAATTCGGATATAACAGGTATTTAGACTTATCCACTGACAATTTAAATTACTGGTGAATGTGCTATAATAATGGAAATGTGGCACAACATATAAAAACACAAAAGTTGTAAATTAATTAACAACCCAAAAGGAGTAAAAAGATACACTAGAAAAGAAAAACAGCCCAGTAACATTATGAATAGTTTTTATTGAAACTCATGTAGTCTGTGAACCTAAAATTAGTCAACATAAAATTTTCAATTGAAACAAGAGTTTATCCAAATCTTAAATTTTTCCACAAAGTAGACACAGAAGAAACATTGCCCGATTTGTTTTATGAAGCCACAGTTACTGTGATACCCAAACCACATAAAGACCCATTTTATAGAGGATTATAGACCGATTTTTCTTATGAAAAAAGAAATAAAAAATCTAAGTAAAATACAAACTAAATCTAAGAACACAACAAAGATCTTCCATTGTGATAATGTAGGCTTTATCCCAGAGACACAAGGGCATAGTTTAACATACATAAATCAATAAATGTAAACAACCATATAAACAAACTGATAGAAAAAAAACCTACATGATCATCTCATTAAATTTATAAATGTGTTTGACAAAATACAATGCCACATCATGATAAAAGTCCCAGAGAGATTGGGGATACAAAGGACATGTCTGAAAATAATTTAGCAGTATGCAACAGATCATAGACTACATCAGCTCAAATGGAAGGAAACTGAATGCAATTCCACTGAAGTTAGGAACAAGACAACACAGTCCACTTGCTCCCAATCTATTCAGTATAGCACCTGAAGTCTCAGTAGAGCAATAAGACAACTAAAGGGGATCAAGGGGATACAAATTGTAAAAGAAGAAGTCAAAGTATCATTATTTACAAATGATATGATAGTCTACTTAAATGACCCCCAAAATTCTACCTGGGAAATTCTCCAGTTGATAAACACCTTCAGTGAAATGGCTGGATACAAGATTAATTTAAAACAAAATCAATAGCCTTTCTATATACAAATGACAAATGGACTGAGGAAGAAATAAGGTAAACAACAACCTTCACAATAACCTCAAACAATATAAAATATCTTGGGGTACTTTGTATGATGAAAACATCTAGTCTTTGAAGAACAAAATTAAAGAAGTTATCCGAAGATGGAAAGATCTCCTAGGCTCATGGATTGGTAGGATCAACATAAAATGTAGTCATTCCTACTAAAAGCAATCTATAAAGTCTCACTACAAACCCTTTAAAAATTCCAGCAGAATTGTTTTTAGATCTTGAAAAGATAATTTCAGCTTCCTATGGAAACACACACACACATAAGTACACAGACACTAAGGATGGCTAAAATAATCCTGAATAATAAACAAACTGTTGGAAGCATCACCATCCTTGAACTCAAATTGTACTACAGAGCTACAATAAAAATCAGCAACTTATTGATGCAAAAACAGACACACTGTTCAACGGAATCTAAATGAAAACCCAGACATTACTATACATACTTTTGGACACCTGATTTTTGATAAACAAGAAAAAATAAAGACAGTTTCTTTAATAAAAGCTGCTGCTTAAATTGGATAGCCACATGTAGAAGAATCCAAATAGATCCATACTTATCACCCTAAACAAAATTCAACTTCAAATGGATCAGTGATATCAACATAAAACTAGATAGAATAAATCTGATAGAAAAGAAAGTGGAGAAAAGTCCTGAACTCACTGGCACAGGAAAGACATTTTTAGACCGAACACTCTTAACAAAGTCACTGAGATTCCCAATTAATAAATGGATCTCATGAAATTGATAAGCACACAGCCAAGGATATTTTCATTCAGAAAAAATGCCAAACTACAGAATGAAAAATGATTTTTAACAACTCCAAATCCTATAGAGAACTACTATTCAAACGAATGAAAAAAAAAAAAACAAAGAACTAGATATCAAAGAAACAAATAACACAATGGAAAATGGGATACAGATCTAAACAGAGAATTCTCAAAAGAGGAAAGTTAAATGTCTGTGTGATAATTAAAGAAATGTTCAACAACATCAGCCAAAACGGAGAAACAAATCAAAACTACTTTGTGATTTTATCTTACACCTTTCTGAATAGCTAAGATAAATAACACAAGTGACAGTTCACAATGAAAAGGATTTGGAGCAAGGAGAACAAACACTCATTCTTTGATGGTGGGAGCGCAACTTTTAAAACCACTATGGAAGTCAACGTAGTGATTCTTCAGGAAGTTTAGAGTAGATCTACATCAAGTCCCAGCTATATCACTCTTGAGCATGTACTAAAACAATGCTTCATCCTACCTCAAAGACACTTGCTTAACCATCTATATTGCTATTCTCTATAGAATAGTCATAAACTAGAAACTTGGTGTCTCTCAACAGATGGATTGACAAGGAAAATGTTATATATTATACAACAGAATATTAGGCATTTAAAGAAGTGAAATTGTGAAATTCAAAGGTAAATGAATAGAACTCGAATCCAGAAAGAATAACATGGTGTGTATTCATTCACCTATATGTGAATATTAGCTCTTAAGGCAGTGATAACAAAGCTATAACACATGTAATTATAAAGGATAGATATAAAGCACTAGGGGGTAGGAGGCACAGTTAGATTTTCCCAGGGAACTGATATGATATTTAGGAGTGGATAAGGGTAAGGTTGGGGATAGAATGAG